AGAGAGAGAGACGCTCAGACATACACACACGTAAGCACACACACACACACACACACACACACGCGCACACACACGCGCGCACACACACACACACACACACACACACACACACACACACACACACACACAACAGAGTGGAAAGAGAGAACACAGAGATGAAGGGAGAGAATGAGAAAGATCCACAAACTCACATCTTAATTTCAAACTTGTAAGTTATAAGTTATTAATTCATCTTAAAATATGAGTGGGTAGTTGGTTGGTGCTCTTGTTTCGTCCGCTTCTTCTTTCCTATCAAATGCCCATCATCCTTATCTCTTTTTCATTTTTTGTGTTTGTTACTCGCTAGTAACACCTCTGATCTTCAGCACTTATACGGGGTGCCTATTACGATCGTCGACTCGGTCGCCTGAAACTGAAAACAAACACGTTTGTTTTTAAGGCGACCGAGTCGAGCGATCGGCCCGAGCGATCGGCCCCAGCGATCGGCCCGATCGATCCCATCCGTAGTAGTGGGCACCCCCAGGCGACCGAGACGGGCGATCGGCCTGTTCCGCCGATCCCATCCGTAATGGGCACCCCGTATTAGAAAATGACATTGTTGTGTTGCAAGGGCCGTAACACTCTTACTGAAACTAAACTCTCTTGTGGCACCTCTAATCTTCGGAACTTGTAATAATTATATGACCTTATCGTGTTACAAGAGTCGTAAAACACTTATAAATTAAAACAAAACAATTTCGGAGGGCCAAATAATTGTTCTTTTTCCCTTTCAACGTATTTTTTCTACCAGTTTATCTTCGTGTACATGTTCATTGACTACTCCCCGTCCACGTATGGAGACGACTACACTTACCCTGTTTGGGCCGATGTGTTCGGCTGGCTGTTCACTCTGGCGTCGGCAGCCGCCATACCTGTGACCATGGTCTACAAGATTTGTCAGGAGACCGAGGGAGACACATATTTCCAGGTGGGTGGTTGGCGGGTGCTCTGGTGTGGTTTGCTTCTTCTTTCCAGTCAAACATCTATTGTCTTTATCTGCTCTCCTTCTTTTTTTGTCTTTGTTTCTCTTGTAACATCTCTAATCTTCGGCACTTATATGACATATGACCTCATTGTGTTGCAAGGGCCATAAAAGACTTGCTGAAACTAACGTATTTCCAGGTTTGACTGACTGTTTATTTATGGTGTTATATTCCTTCAGTGGTTGTTGGTTTGGATTGTTGTTGTCGTTGTTGTTTTCATGGTTGTTTTTTTTTATTGTTTGTTCGGTTTTTTGTTTTATTTTTGTTTTTCTTTATACATATGTTTTTTTTTTGGTCGGGGAGGGGGTGTCCCCTTTTTTTGTTGTTTCTGTCTTCTTGGGGGTTTTTTTGGTTTTTTTGCTTGTTACTATTGTTGTTGCTGGTGTTATTTTTGTTGGTAACATTGTCATTGTTGATAATGTTGAATTTATCACATTGTCGTTATTATTTTTGCTGTTGCTATTGTCGTCATCGCCGCTGTTGTTGCATTTGTTTGCTATTGCTTTTCTTTGGTCTTGCAGTCACTACTGTTCTTGTATGTCTGTGTGCATATGTATTGTGTGTGGGGGGGGGGGGGGGGGGGAGGGGGGGAGAGAGAGAGAGAGAGAGAGAGAGAGAGAGAGAGAGAGAGAGAGAGGAGGGGGAGGATGGAGTACAAGAGAGATGGAGAGAGAGAAAGTTTTTTTGGGGGGGGAGATTTGAATTAAGAGATGACAGTAAAGTGTAACGGGAAAGGGACAGAAGGCACAGTCTAGTGCCTCTCCTCCTCTCAACCAACAAAAAAAAAGGAAAACCCAACCTCCCAAAACAGGATTTTTTTTTTTAAAACGTGAAAATATTTTAACGTGCATTTATATGCATAATAAAATACTGTATACAAAAATTGGCGTGCGTTCATACCCACTCCCGCGCACAGTACACATTCACACATTCGCTCACCTACTCAGTTACTCATTCATTCACTCATACACGCATACACACACACACACATACTCACACACACACACACACACATACACACACACACACA